TGTTGCTCCTTTCTCATGTCCCTGCTGAGCAGCTCCAACTCTGACACATGCAAACTGACACCACACACAAACAAGACAAATGATTCCACCCAGAGACATAATAACACTCCCAACAAGAAGAATTACTCCCAGAGGGAAGGCACCTTTAGTGAGAAGACATGGGAGGCCATGAGGAAGAATCTACAGCTGCCATGGCCTGTTACAAAAGGATACAGCTGCAACTGTGAAGATGGATGCATGAGAAGCCAGGCCCTAAGACCTAAGGCCAAAAGGATGCAGAGAAGAAGCAGCTTCAGAAAACAGCTCAGGAATGGTGCTGACACATTCTGGATTGCCACTGCAAGAGAAGGCCATCTGTAAACTGCTTGGACACAAGACACACCAGACAGATCTGTGCAATCAGCCTGTAACAGAAGTAAGGTAGTACTCAATTGGCATTGTGCAGACAAGATCCTTGGTATGGCTAGCACCAAAAAACAATGGGATCATTGAGCCCTGAGTAACCTGAGTCCTTGAGTCAGGGTTGGTGGCATGTCTGTGTGTTAGTGTTACAGCCACTGTTGTTCCTCTTGCTCTTCTCAGCAGGGTGGGCAATGAGTGTGTTAATTCTGTGAGAGCTCTGGGATAGGGCAGAAGCAGGACCAGCAGCCCCGAATACCCAGGAGCCATGAGCCAGCCTCCCTCCCCAAAGAGATGAGCATAGCTTAGAAATTGTGATTTAAAAACCTGAATTATCTATTCACTGTTTTCAGCCTGTAGAGTGCAGTAGTACCACGTTTTCACAGAATCATAGAATCCCAGCTTGGAAAGGACCTTACAGATCATCTCACCCAACCTTTCTTGGCAAAAGCATGGTATAGACAAGAGAGCTCAGCACACTGTCCAGCCAAGTCTTAAAAGTGTCCAACACTGGGGAATCCACCACTTCCCCAGGGAGATTATTCCAGTGGATGATTGTTCTCATTGGGAAAGCTTGTGCCATTACCTCTCAACTTTTTTTGCCACATGACCCCTTTTAAAATAGGAGTCTTTGTGTTCTTTGTAGCCACCCTTTAAATACTCAAACATAGTGACATGGTCTCCCCTATTGATCCTAAAAACAGTAATTCTCTCTCATTTTCATTAGGATTTCATGGCATTCTTGGAACGCTGGGCTCTGGAGTGTCAGGCTGAATGCCATTAGGGGAAATAGTCCATCTCCTAACTATGGTCTGGCTGAAGTTTTGTCTTTACTTTCTATTCTATAAAGTTCATACTGTATTCACTCAGGACTGGTTGCAGCAGGAAACAAAGCTGATTATGGGAAAGACCTATAATATATAAATGTGGTACAGTGGCCAAAACTTTCAGAAGTTAAAATATCCATTCTAACTGCTTTCTGCCATGCTTTGGGTAAAATTACTTACAGAACTTTTATTTCAGGAAGAGTGACGTTTGAAGTGCCTGACAGTGGGCATCCAAACTATTGAAAGTCTTGGTTATAGGCAGCAGAAACTCCTGAAAATAGTTTGCTTAGTGGAACTTTGTTCCAGAGTAAACCAGAATTGACTATTCAGTTCTCATCTCTACTAGTAAAAATCCATATCAGCCCTTTGCAATGCCCAGATAGCAGAAGGCAGAATGTGCTTCATTTCTTTCCACATTGTGTTATTTTTTGTTAGCAATGTTTCACAGTGTAAAGAATCCAAATTACAACCCTTTATCTACATTATTATTGCTCCCCTCTCTTTGCCAGGCCTTGGATCATGCAGCTTCACCAGTTTTTTTTTCTCCCTCCTTGGAGCCACAGCTTTTCCCCGCTCATTTTTTGTAATCTGACATAGTGATTTGTTCATTTATGTGCTTGTTTTTCTCCTTGAAGAAGATTTGCTGAATCATTGGGGAGGAGGCAGGAGCTCTACAGGCAGCTGGTGGCCAGTGATAAAACCAGGGCCACATCCAGTCTTCAGGGTTTGCAGATGACAGCCATTCAGTTGAAGGCCTGAGTCACATTCCCTTCCGAGCTAAGATTGCTGGGGACTTTGGGATTGAGGAAGTGAGGCTGAGGAGATGGTGCCCCAAAAATATAAATTATTGATCTGAAAACCACAAGGTTTGTGTTGTATATCCTGCAAAATTTATAGTGATGCTGTGAGAAAACTTGCTGGCTAGGAGCTAAATCCTGCTGACTCTTGTATGTTGTGCTCACTTCAGTGGGAACACATGGTTAAGAAAATACGAATTTGGCTTGAAATAGGTCACAGTATGTAGTGCCTGCTTCCAGACTTGCAGCAGCAAGGTGTCGTGTGAGCAAAGGTGTACCAGAGCTCCAAGCCAGTCATCTGCCTGCATATTTGGAGAGAACACACCAGATTCCACTGGTATAACTTATTAAGCTGTTTATATTGCAACAGGGCTGAACTTTGTCCACTACCTAATGACTGAAATAAGAACTGGGAACTAAAATGCTTTGCTTCATTTTTTAGGTCTTTTACTCACCCTGTCTACAGCCTCTAGGTACTTTATCTCTCCCTGGCCCTTAGTTTCCTTGCAGTAAAACAGGGATAAGGTGTTCCATCTTTTCGAAGCATGTGCTATTCAAATGCAAAGTATCATTAGTATTTCTGAGTCTGCAGTACCACTGCTTTGTCATTATGTGGCTGGCATGTGGACACAGCTCTCTGACTTTCCAGATAGTTGTTTCCCTAAGATGCAGTTAAGATGGGAGACCTCAGCTGTTCCATGCACATTCACTCTGAAACCAAAGGCTTTCTTCTCTGTCAGCTCTGCCTCTAATGGAAGGCACTAGAAAATAAGTTTTGTGCATAATTTTATAAGTATCTTCCAGAACTATAATCTTACCAATAGTACATGATACTTTTCCTAAGAACAGAGTTTTAACTGGGGATGTTCTAATTAGTTGTACTTCAAGGATGTAAAATAGAAAGTTGGTTAACAAACAACACTGGAAGTCCAGGTGATCTGAGTTCCAATTCTAGTTGCCCTATTCAAATTTGGGCAAGTATTTTAAAGGGACAGATGACAATGCAGACCTCCCTTTGATGCTTTCTGCATGTTCTGTGGGATGCTTTCACAATGCCACTCCAATATAAGGTTACTGTGCTGGTCAGCAATTCTACCTTGCTCTTATCCACAGATCTCAAAGCATGTCTGTGTCATTATCCTCACTTTGCAAACGGGAAACCTGAGACATGGGGAGGGATAGTGCCTGGTTCAGATCAGCTGACAATGTCAAAACCAGGAATGCAATCCTTCTTTGAGTTTTGAGTCTCCTATGTGGTGTTCTCCATGATGCTACAGTATCAGTTTCTGGACTCTCTTCCCCAGGTGCTCTCACAGCTGGGTGTCCACCGAGCCTGATGGATTTACAGTTAAGCTACTCCAGGCTGGATCTAAATAAGGAACTGGGTAGGGATTTGTGACTGACACACTGGTTCACCATGTTCACGCTCTCAGGATGGAGCCCTTTCAATAACAGGAATGCTCCATCATTTCTGACTTCCCCTTCCTCAGCTGAGACAAGAGATAATTTTTATTTTATAAAGAAAAGAAACCAGTAGAGTTGACCACTGCCAAAAATCCCACCAAAGCTCCTAATATAGAAGGGTCTGGGATGTAAGATAAAGTCTTATTGCTTTAAAATTATTCAAGAGGAAGGCAGAATCAATGGGGTAGAGTTATTTTTAACTCCTTATTCTTCATGAGAAAGCCTTGAACCTCAGAGTTGTGTTGGCCAGTGCTGAACGTGGCTGTGTGCTTAGGGCTTGACTTAGGAGCCCTCAATGCACAGAAGAATTAAACGGCTTAGAGGCTGTTCATGGCCTGGAGAATAGTAGATTATGGATTGGAACAGAAACAGCTGTGAGAAACTTGGCTTGAGAGTGGTGCAGAAACCACAGGGGTGTGACTCATCTGGAGACATCTAAAGTTACAGGACAAATGAGGCTCCTTTTCAGGGAGAAAAGTAGGTGCGTTGAAGGCATGACTTCTGTCCTACTCTAGGTAGGTGCTTTAGGGGGAGCTAAATTGATTCCTAGATATGTTACTTGCCAGAAAGGGAGCCTTTAAGTGACTAGCTCACACTGGAGATATCCTGGCCTACTTTGCTTCTGCAGAGGGTTTTTTGCCTTGTATCCCATGGAGGGCTTGGGGCAGCACTTGCACCCAGGCAGCCAAGTCTGAACACATCCTCCCAGCACAGGTCAGGGCTTACACTGGGGCCAGCTCTCAGTAAAATCCCCTGACACAGGCAGGATCAAAGTCACCAGCTTGAACCCAGCCAGAGACCCAGCAGTGGTGGGAGGCAGGATGACAGCAGTCCATATGGTCTAACTGCACAGTGACCTGGTAACAGCGTGATGTGACAGGCTGGAGTAATGCAGAGTGCTGAAGCTGCTGATCTGACAATGGTTCAATGCTGCACAGCCTATTGTCATCACAGAAACCAAGGATGTGCCATGTGGGAATCTCTTGTTACCCTCTCTGTCACAGCTGAGGTATCTGGACAGGGAGTTTGCACAGGTCCAGGGGAGCTCATCCAAATGTAGCAGAGTCTGTCTGCTATGATCTCGAATGTACTGATTTGGTTATTGCTGCCCTAAGAGTAGTGTGAATAGTCATTTGTTGGCCCATACTCTTGCAGCTCAGATGGGAATGGTCAGGTTTTTCCTCTTTTGTTCACTTGGGTGTTTTTACTGTTTGGGTTGTTTGGGGCTTTTTTTCCAGAAACAGTAAAGGGAAAACAAAGCAATTAACTATACACCAAAACTTAGTGACTAGTGTTATTCTGAAGTGCTAAATTCCTCTCCCAGACCTAGGGAAGGCAGTGTGGGGGAGAAGTGCTGCTCTGAGCACTGAACAGGAGCAGCTTGCTCAGTAAACATCTGAATTGTTTGCTGTAAATCTGACTCTCCCTGCTGTGCAATGTTCCTAAGAAAGCCTACCCCCTGCATTCCCTTAGGCCCCTATGTTCATGTTTGCAGTTCTCATACTGCACTTACCAAGGTTATTTGTGTGGATGGGGGCTCCCTGTTGATGCCTGGGTGGCAGAAGCAAAGGGCTGACAGGCCTTTCCTGCCAATCTGTCTGTTGTTCAGATGAAGTGGTTGGAAAGTGCTCACTCTCCAGTTCCCTCTTTGGCTCAGGCACTCCGATAAGGCATGGGCTGTCCTATCTTGCCCTGGGAGCTGTTCCTCCTCCCTAACAGGCTCACTTTGCTGGCTGACAGTTAGCAGCCGGCAGTGCTTGATAAACTTATCAGAGCAAAGCTGAGCCCAGTGCACACTCAGCTCCTCCCCAGCCCCAGATTTCCCCATTCTTGGGGACTCTTTGCTCTCTGCCTGTCTGTCCATCTGGTATGGTGAACAAGATCACCCTGGGGCCAACAGGTCAAAATCAGCCCAAGGACCAGATTGAAAAATGCTTGTATTGAAGTAACACCTTTAAAATGAGTATATCAAGTGAGGTATTTGTAGCATCTATATCCAGTTCTGTCTCTGTCTGGAATATTATTCACTGGTGAAAATGCTGCTCATGTCTGATTTGTCCTCAGTGTTTCTGCTTGCCCTGTTTCTCCTCTCAATTGGCAGTTTAGTGGTTTTAATGTAGGGGTCTTGCTGTGCTTGGAGGATTTCTTTCTAAGCCAGTTACAGAACTAGGTTGCTTTGCTGAATTAAGTTTCTATCACTTGTTATTAATATGGCACTTGGGCGTTCTAAACCGAGATCAAGGCTTCATTGTGAAGGTGCTGTATGTAGAAGATAAAGAGGGGCAGGCCCATTCCTGACTATCTTACCGTTGAAATAAACAAGTGAAATGAAGGGGAGAGGGGGAATTATTATCCTCTTCTCACAGATGGGTGACGCTTTCTGTGAGTCTCATAGTGAGCTGAACAACTTCAGAAATCCAGAGCTCATATCTTGCCCTAGGTCATGCAGGAAGCATGTGGTAGATCTCAAGTCTCAGTTCAGGGTTGCAGCCTTAACATCAGTGTGTCTGTGGTGACTGTTAGTTGTGAGATGGTTTGTCAGAGCTCTGCAGGGATATGTGTTTTCTTGGCTCTCATTCAGCTGAGATGCAACTGATAGATTTATTATCCTTCAGTAATTTTGGTGTGGCTGTTCCAGGTTGTCTCTTCTGTGTGGATGTGCTATTCCAGGGCAGAAGTGGGAAAAATTCTCTGCTTTGTGAGCAGGAATGTTTTCCCTATGCAAGGAAATGTGTGCATGCAGCTCTTTCTGGGAGATTGTCTAATTCTTTCAGGTTTCCCCTTGTGTGCCATGCTGATGGGCTAGAACTAACCTGCTTGTGTGTCCCCATCACCTACACTGCATGGCCCTGTGGGAATGACCTGCTGTGAGGACAAGGGACTCTGCTCTTATCACTTTTTACACTGAAGGCTTTCTCTGAAGTCTGGGCGGGAAGCAACTGGACTTAGCAAGTTTTAGTTTACTTCCCCCCTTCCCCCTCCAAAATACAACCTGTACCTAAATGAAGCCTAATTCTTCCCTGTCCTTTCTGTCAGTTCCTTTTAGGCCTTCCCTAACCATTGCCAACACAATGTGAAAACATCAGGGTTTTCCTTCCTTAGGATTCCACTCTGTGGAGGTTAATACAACCTGAATGTAAGTTCCAGTGTAATGGCATGATAGCTCTGCTTCCTGCAGGTGTCCTGTGGCTCTGTCTTCATTAGGAAGATGCATCATGTGCCCACACTTAAATCCACCCTTGATCATAGTATTTCTGGGTTGCTGTTCTCAGTGCCTAAAGGGTGTCTGGAAGACACAGAGGCACCTCTCTCCTTCTGACAAATGCCCGGGGTTATTGCTTTGCATGTCCCTCATTTGCTAAACAAAACAGCCCAAAGACCAGGATTTTCTTTCCCTGGCAAGAAGGGAAGAAGGTGTGAGGAGGACTGGGGAAGGGCAGGATGCAGGGCGAGCTTGGAGGGAGGCAAAACAATCAGCTCTTTCTTCAGCTATGAAGATTAGTTGAGATTTTGCTCTTTGTTATCTGTTTCCTTGATGGACTGACCAGAATGTTTTTGATGCAAGGGGAGATGGTGGGGAAGGGGTTGTTTTCAGAGTGGTCAGAACTGGGGAGGATTTGCGTGTTTGGAGAACAAGGGCAGGTGTGTTTGGAGTTAGTGACAGCCACAGCCTGATCCTGGCAGGTTCTGAGCATTCTTGGGTACCTGTCATGTGGATTCAGCAGCTCCAAGGACCATGGAAGCCCTTTGCCCGCTCCATACAGCAGGCCTGCCTTTGACTGGTGCTGTGTTGGGAGTGGAATGCTGTCCCCCAACCTGGTGCGGTGAGATTTGGGTAATGACAGATCTGTTTTATCCCTTGCTCCTTCACCTGCATTTCCAGAGCTTCAGGGGGTGCAGTTGAAAGCCCAGGGGTTTCCTTTGGTCTGCTGGCATCATAGTCCTGAAGGAAGCAGGGCATTACGCAGTGGTCTGAAAGTGCCACTTTGTTACTTAAGAGGAAGAAATTGTAGTGTCTTAGTAGAAAACTCTGCAAGTTAATTCCTTCTCTTCCTCCTCCTCCTTCCTTCACAGGTCCTGACTCTGGCTGTACTGTCTCGCTCTACCTTTGCCAGCTGGCCTCCATCCACATTTCGTGTTCCTAGAGATATACGCCCAGTGCTGGTGGGAGTGGGTCACCCTGGCCCCCCCTGAGCTGCTTTGGCCACAGACATGTTTTCCTGAGCACAGCTCTGCAGCAGCATGCTGCCTAAGGCCATCCCAGCGTGCTTCTCTACGCACTGCCCATCCATCTAAAGCAGTCCTTGCATCTCCTGGGGATGTGCCCACCAGTCTCCTCACAAATGTATGGGTACAGCTGACACTGCCTCCTCCAGTGTAACTAACTCCTCTTCAGTAAGCACAATAATGGTGAGAGCATCTGCCTGCCCTAGAGTCTTGGGCAAATAAAAGACAGGACTGGAGTAATCTTACTTGGTTAGGAGGGAGAAGCAGGCTGTAGAACGACCTTAGGAGTGAAGACCACAGCTGCCCATTGAAGGTTATATCTCCTCTGTATCATGGAAATCAAAGATAGGAATGGAAATCTAATGGCTAGAGTAGCCCTTGTTCAGCAGGCTCAGGAGAACCAGCTGCCTGATTTGCTTTTATGAGTGGTTTTACAGGCAGTCTTGCCACAGTGCCAGTCTGTGTGTGCCAGCACTTCCTTCCAGAATGGCCCTAAGTGTGCAGCTTCAGAGGAGTCAGACACACCTACTGTGCCAGGACACAGGCAAGGAAGTCTGTGCTGTTGTGCCTGTGTGTTTTGCGGCTGGAGGTTATTTACTGCTGAGCAGTTCAGATGCTGACATGCTCTTTAAATATTTCTGTTTGCAGATTTGTGGAGGATAAACAGGGTTTGCATTTTTGGCAGCAGTTTCAATAAGCTGAAATGACTTTACTTTGAGTAAGGCTTGTGCATGTGTGAGTGTTCAGGTGTTACGGTCAGGACCTGGGGACCAGTTCCTTTAGCCCAGTTCTGTCAGAGGTCATACACCTCCCCTGGAGTCTCTGACCAGAGAACCTGACCAGGTTCTGGCATGACCCAGGGAAGGACAGCAGTTCTGGTAACAAAAAAAATGGGGGTTTTAGTAACGCTGTCTGCTGGGCACACAATCCCATGTCATCTGTGATTATAGCTACACAGCCCTCTTGCTCTGCAGAGCTGCCTTGCTGCCTGTGTGAGACTACACTGATTTGTCTCTGAGAATGAATGTCTCTTATCCCAGGCTTTGAGCACTGTTTGTGGCTGTTCTTTAGCCAATAGGCCCCTGCTCCCTGAATTTGATTTCTTTCAAGTGTAAGTTTTGGAGCCTTGTTCTGCATGTGAACTTCCATCTTTATTTCCACTTGAACCATATGGGAAAATGCTGTGCTCTCTCCCTTCTCCTTTTCTCCTCCATCCTCACTGCCTGAACCTCCAGAACCAAGTGTGAGCTTTTCTTGAAATGGGTATTTTTAACATGGAATACACTATGTTAGCCCAGTTACCAAGAGGAAACAGATTTATCAGATAAATCCCAGCAGGCCTGTACATGTTATCACTGTCTGGTATAGTGCAATAAAAATATACATTAGAATAAGTATAAATACATATTTACAGTGTACAAGTAAAGCCAGGATTACAGACTCTTGAGCTTCCAGAATGAATATTAATGACTAAAAGGGGCAAGTACATTTTAGGTCTTAGGAGAATAACTGGAGTTACAGCAGTGTAATTGAAGGCAGGACGGACTTCTCTCCTGGCAATAAATGAGTTTTCCACTTGGACCATGTCTTCTTTGCCCATGATGGCCCATTCTCCAAGCTACTTCCCACTGATGTCATTCATTGTCCAAGGCCATGTGTTCAGCAATGTAGTTATGGAGTGGGCTGTGTGCTGCTACAATGCCCTGCTTAACTGAAAGCACTTGTCTTTTTAATGCTATAATAATACTTTGTCCTTCCCATTAAGAACTGGAGGGACCCTATAAACCTGAGTGAATGACTCCACATCACCAGGAGGGGTGGAGAAATAAAAGCCCAGTGCAGTGACTTGCCAAAGGTTATATAGTGAGAACTTAGCACAGCTTGGAGGGGAACTGGCTCTTTACTTGTTCCAGTGCTTTGCTGTAACCCCTAGACCTGGAAGAAGGAGGAAATACCACAGCTGTTTGTACAACATTTGTAAGGTACTTGCGTACTCTGCCAAAGTGTACAGGCTGTGTCACTTCCTCCTTTAAGAGAGTGGCTGGAAAGCAGAACTCTGGCCCTTGACACTGATATCCAAGGGCCATTCCTGACCATGCAGTGATATGGGATTGCCCAGGACACCTCTAAGTTGGTATGTCTAGCATGCAGCGAAATACTGTGGGACATACCGGCCTGGATGCCAAGAGCAGCCAGTCTCTCTTGTGTGGTACTGAGACATGGGTCTTATTAGCTTATGCCTCATGCTGTGGCATGGCTCTCTCTGGAGCTTGGCTGGTTACCACTAACCCAGGGATCTTTGCAGCACAGTACATATGGGGAATGCATTTAGAGACCCCTGTTATCAGCTAGGGATAAGGAGCTGTTTTCTCAGTGTTTTCCTCCCACTCCAAGCTAAAAATACAACACAGTTAACTTGTCATTT